GGCTCCGCGGTGAACAAAGACAGAATTCTCGCTCCATGATCCCTTGAGCTTCTCCGTCTTTGTTCATGTGTTTCCAGTGACAGCGCAGGCCTGGAAAGTGCTTCCATAATCCTACATCATTACTGTACTTAAAGGTGCCGTGTGTGATTTTAGGATGGAAAAATAGATTATTGTATTGCCGTTTAATCTGCAGAGTTAACCGTAAGATATTTGCAGGTTTGTTCACTTTTAAAACATTAGTTTGAGCATCACGACCAATCAGGCACTGCAACATTGACTCAGCTAATGAGGCGGGTTTTGGGGCGGGGCTAACTGTTTGATTGACCAATGGAGGGAAACCTGTTTGAAATTGGTCATTTTTGCAGTGACGATTGGTGATGCTAATGGCGTAGAAATTACTTACTGCATTTTTAAGCATTATTTTGTAGAATTTGGAAATAATTGAAAAGTTATTTTAGTATCATTGATATACCATCTACCTTCCTTCTACTTCTTATATTTTCTGTTTTCATTTTAATTTTTAAGTTTGAGATAATGAGATATTGGTTTTGTTGTTTTTTAATATCTATACAATTAAGTTTTAATATTATTTATATTAAATGTCTAATAATGTATAATTTATATAATGATAATGATTTTGTAAATAATTTGTATTAATTATAACATTTAATATAATGTGAATGGTATAACTAGTATGATATAATAAATATTATAGCAAATGTATTTAGTTAGAAATAATTTATATTAAATATGACATCTATTACAATATTTATATTTTAATAAATGTGTTGCCCTGGCAACTAGTTGAAATAAAATACATATTTATATTTTGTATTTTATTTTTATTTCAGTTAATGTTTATTTTATTTAAAGTAATTTTTTTATTATGTATAATGACATAATTCATATAATTGTATAGTAATTTACATTTATATTTTAAATGTGTAATTAATAATTCATTTATAGTTAATACTAATAATAACAATAATATTGTTATAATATTATATAATTAAATATAATATTAAATGTATTTAGTTATAAATTATTTATATTAGATACAGCATTTAATATAATATTAATAATATTGTTATAATAATAGTATAGAATTAAATGTTGTTAAATTGATTTAGTTATAAATAGATTATTTATATTAAATGCAACACATTTAATATAATATTTATATTATATTAAATGTGTTGCCTTGGCAACCAGTTGAAATAATTTTATTTTAGTTCAAGTAATGCAAACGTTTTATGGTTTTAGTTTCAGTTAACAACAATAAGCCTAGGTGAAAGGGAATAGCTGTGCTTGCATTTCCAAGCAAAATAATACTTTTGATGAATCTATAAACACGAATAAACAACTGATTATTTTAGTTTTACATTGAAAGTTTCACTATATAATCATGCATTTAAAATGGAGAAGAAACACCTCCAGTATCTTGTGTGCTGTTGATGTCAAAGGTTGTGCATCCAATCAATGTCATATTTTAATGCAGATTCATCTGTCACTTGTTGAGTTTCCACTGAATATCCATAGTAAAATCTGGACTTTGATGCAGAACGAGTTGAGAAGGCCTAGTTAGTGTCCTAAAGATTGAAACTGAATGCATGTAAAATCAAAGCTCTTGTAAGCACAGTGGAGTTTTTCAGCTCCTCACATCAGTTAGCATTGCTTTGTGCTCTCTCTCTTTTCATCCACAGACTCCAGTAAATAAATGCCGTTAGACGTACAAACGGATATTAAAACAGCACTGACATGAATTGCGTCCGTTCTTCTTTCAGCGCTGAATCTTGTTTTGGAGGCAGAGCATGGTTTGAGCAGCCGTAACGATATTGCTTGTTGTGTTTTCTTGTAAGATCGGTGCAGCTGTGCATCCAATCTGTCAGCTGGCGTTTGGCTGGAGTTTGATGCTGTTTCGTCATTGTACAATCTACAACTGAGAGCAAAACCCTGGCGCTTCTGCGTGCAGCACGTGTTTGCCCGTTGCTGTAGTTATTATATTTTCTGCAAATGCACCCCTACATTTACAGGGTTTCTGCAGAATTCTGCAATTCTCCCTTTCACAGATAAAGACCTTAAATAGTCTCAAATCTGAGCAGAAAGTTCTAAAAAAATTCATGAAGTCATAGCATGAAATGACAATAAAAAAAATAACTTTGTTTTCATATCCTGTTTTCACATCTGCTATTGATTGATTGATTTTTTACTAACTTTACTGTTATTTTATTAACTTTACTCAAGTTATTTGGTTTATTATCCTATTTCCATTTATCTATTTATTTTAACTAATAAAAATCTTAATTTTTACTATTTGTTATTGTTAACTTCAAGTGATTTGGTTTCTTATCCTATTTATTTATTTATATATTTAAGTTTATAAACAATCTTCATTTTATGTTATTTTAACTTCAAGTTATTAGGTTTATTATCCTATTTCCATTTATTTCTTTATTTATTTTAACTTATAAAAATCTAAATTTTTATTATTTGTTGTTTTTACTTCAAGTGATTTGGTTTCTTATCTTATCTTTTATTTATTTATTTATTTATTTCAGATCTATTTATTTTAACTTCTAAAAATCTTAATTTTTACTATTTGTTATTGTTAACTTCAAGTGATTTGGTTTCTTATCCTATTTATTTATTTATTTATTTATTTATATATTTAAGTTTATAAACAATCTTCATTTTATGTTATTTTAACTTCAAGTTATTAGGTTTATTATCCTATTTCCATTTATTTATTTATTTATTTTAACTTATAAAAATCTAAATTTTTATTATTTGTTGTTTTTACTTCAAGTGATTTGGTTTCTTATCTTATCTTTTATTTATTTATTTATTTATTTCAGATCTATTTATTTTAACTTCTAAAAATCTTAATTTTTACTATTTGTTGTTGTTAACTTCAAGTGATTTGTCAAGTGATTTGGTTTATTTATTTATTTATTTATTTATATATTTAAGTTTATAAACAATCTTCATTTTATGTTATTTTAACTTCAAGTTATTAGGTTTATTATCCTATTTCCATTTATTTATTTATTTATTTTAACTTATAAAAATCTTAATTTTTATTATTTGTTATTGTTAACTTCAAGTGATTTGGTTTCTTATCTTGTCTTATTTATTTATTTCAGATCTATTTATTTTAACTTCTAAAAATCTTAATTTTTACTATTTGTTGTTGTTAACTTCAAGTGATTTGGTTTCTTATCCTATTTATTTATTTATTTATTTATTTATATATTTAAGTTTATAAACAATCTTCATTTTATGTTATTTTAACTTCAAGTTATTAGGTTTATTATCCTATTTCCATTTATTTATTTATTTATTTTAACTTATAAAAATCTTAATTTTTATTATTTGTTATTGTTAACTTCAAGTGATTTGGTTTCTTATCTTGTCTTATTTATTTATTTCAGATCTATTTATTTTAACTTATAAAAATCTTAATTTTTACTATTTGTTATTGTTAACTTCAAGTGATTTGGTTTCTTATCCTATTTATTGATTTAAGTTTATAAGAAAATCTTCATTGTTATGTTATTTTGTTAACTTTATTAGTTATTTGTTTTCATATACTATTCTCATGTCTTCCTCTCATTTCCTCGTGTTAATTGAAATTCTGGCTGTGTTGGTATCTGAGCGTTTACTCCCTGGGCTCCTCAGACGCTGGTTTTTCTCTGCTCCTGTGTTTGTTTGTGTCCCGCTCCGGCCGTTAGGGTGCCGTGGAGCAGAAATAAGCGCCCCCCGTCGAGACAGCAGCTCATGGGGCAGAACGGAGCTGCTCACGCATGAGGATCCAGCATCAGATTTCACAGATTTCATTAAACAACAAGACGCTTTGGTAGAAGTTTAGCAGCAGGGTTTGTGTTTACAGTATGAGAGAATCAGATAAACTCAGAATATGTGAGCACATGTTTGCAAAGTCAGCATGACATCTGAATCATATTTCATGTTTTAATATGTGATTTATTGCTGCATGGCCTTCCAAACTGTTTGTTTTTGTAGTGCAATGTGATTCAATCTGCCTCAAAAACAGCTGACAATCCTCTTGATTTACCAGCTGCACTCTTCCAATCTCACGACTCCATTCTGATGCAACGCACACTTTTCACAAACCAGTCAGTTCATGATAATAAAATTAAGTCACTCAGTAGAATTATTTTGCATTTAATATCCTATTACATTCTGTTAATATATCATTATATAAGTAAAATGGTTTGCAAATGTTGATTTTTTTTATATATTTTTTTTAAGTCATGTCCTCTTTTCATGGCTGTTATTTTTTTATCTACTTATAAAAAGCTTTTTGTATTCATTCATTCATTCATTCATTCATTCATTCCAGAGTTATTTATTTTAATTTATTACGTATTCATGTATTTATTTTAGCGTATTTATTTTAACCTTCATTTTTGAGTTTTGCTTTCATATATTTATTTATTTATTTATAAAGTAATTTGTTTTCATGAACAAAATGCCAATGAAAATAGGTTATTTATTTTAAAAAAAATTTGTTTTCATGTCCTATTTTCATAAAACTTTTATTTATTTGTTTGTTTGTTGACTTATAAAAGCCTTCGCATTTCTGAAGCATGTAATAGAATTGGAATTATAATTCTTATTTTACCCTGACACTGAGATTGAAGATGGATTGTTGTACTCTATCAGACGAATGAGTTTTACAGGTCAGTCAAAGTCATGCCCTGTGTGATCAATGAGCTGATGATACACATGGCCGCTAGCGATGTTAGTGTTGTTTCCGCTAGTATGATGCCCACGTGTCTCTTCAGATGGGTCACACGCCGAGAAAACCAATGCTGAATGCAAACAATACAATGCACATAAGCATATTTTTGAGTAATTCCTCAGTACAGTCAGATGTTGATGTGATGCACGATCACTAAACTGTGTTTATCTCTCTTTCTCTCTTATGTGCCGTGTGTCTGCGGGCTGGCCCTGATCCTTCTCAAACACCTCCTCTGAAGGTAACATGCTTTATTTTACTCCTTTACCATGGTAAAAGGCCTTCAGGCACGCTCTGTCGTAAGATGAACTGCTGCTGAATTAATGCTGCGGCTGCTTTTAAAGCTTTCTGAGGACGAGAGCGTGATCTGCTCAGTGTGACACGTCTCTCTAAATAAAGAGCAGGAGGACGATGCCCTGAGGAGTGCTTTATGGCTCACGGGTCGTTCTTATCGAGGCTTGAAGACTTCAAGGAGTCCTTGCTTATGTTTCGTTTAAATATTACCTTGGCTTGGTTGTTTCTGCTCAAATTCAGATCGGCTCAAATGAGATGATTGTTGACCACTCTGATCCAAAACCTGTGGAAATAATAATGAATTAATTTTAGCCAGATTCTATTTGCTCTATTTGCTTATGGAAAGGCAATCACATCAGTGCATTTTTGCTATTATAGTTTTTAATTAATATTTTTAATTAACTTAGATTTTTATATTTTCAGTTTTTGTGTAATTTGATGTACTTTTGTCATTATTATTATTACTACTACTAATAACATTATTATTATTATGATTATTATTATTATTATTATTGCCATTTAGGTTTAATTGGTTTTTATTATCATTTAGTAATGTTACTGTTTCCAAGTCAACATTTCTTAATTTAAGTTTAGTTTAGTTTCATGTAGTTA